GCACTCGTTGGATAGACAAGTCCCCCTCCCCCAAACAAGGAAGCGAAAAACTTGCCGGGGAACTCCGGAGGGAATGGACTTCAGGAATCAGCCCCTCCGGCCCCTTGGCGAGGGGAAACACACTCCACCTCGGTCTTCACGGCCACAGCAGACCCCGAAGTCTCCTTCCTTTGTTCCATCTCTCACGGACTCCAGGGCTCCCAGGTCTGTCAGGAACCAGCGGACTTCCGAGGCTTCCACGGCTGCTTGCCTACAGCGGACTCTGTAGGGTTCCCACTCCCCAGGGCTCCCACATCTGTCTGGCAACAGCGGACCCTAAAGGCTCCCACTTCTGTTGACCCACAGTGGATCCTGCGGGACTTCTGTTTCTGTTTGACCAGCAGGAATTGCGAATACACTCCCACCCGCCGCTCAGTCAAGTGCTCTCTGTCTGTTTCGAAAATTCCTAGTGCTAGGTGCCTTGACCCCTTGGTTCTCCAGGAGAACCCTGGTTGTGCCAAACCTCTGTGACGACAGACTTTGCCACAGCCACACTTCTCGGACAGCCAACTCTTTGGGGGACATCCCGTTTAGTCCACTGTCCTACCATGGGAGCCTCGTCATCCCTGCCGGCCGATTTCCCTCTTAAATGCCTCTTAGATAATCTCACTACACTTTCTCTCTCCCCTGATATTAAACCCAAACGCCTAATTCGCCTCTGCACACAGGACTGGCCAACATATCCCTTAGACAACCAAAATCAGTGGCCCCCTCAGGGGTCCCTCAATCTCGATATCATCCAGGGCTTATATAATTTCTGTGAACGTTCAAAACAGTAGGTAGAGATTCCCTATGTTCAGTCCTTTTCTCTCCTCCGTAAACATCCTCGCCTGTGTCTCAATTGTAACCCCTCTAACCTCCACCCTCAACTCATGCTAACATCTACTGCTTCTCCTACAACTTCTCTTCCTCCCATTGTTCCACGCACATGTGAGCTTCCTCCTCTAAATTCCCCTTCCCCCACTGCAGACCCTGCAAGTTCCAT